CGAGAGATCAAGAGAACAAAACAGAGTCGCATCCCTATAGTGAAGGTCCGTTGGAACGCTAAACGAGGACCCGATTTCACCTGGGAATGCGAAGATCATATGAAACAAAAATACCCACACCTCTTCCCAAACTCTTGAAGTCCCGGTCAAAGTACTAATTTTAGGACGAAATTCCTTCTAACGAGGGGATAATGTGACAACCGTCACTTTCTGGTCAAGTCTAAGTCAAAGAAAGTCAACAAGTCAAACTGGTGAACTCAACTAGTGCTAATATGATTAGGGATTTCTTTATGGTTACTAATGTATGACTCTAAATCTTAAATGCAAAGTAACATTTGAAGGTTTCAAATGTTCAAAATTCTAAACCCTAATCAGAATGAGGGAAGTAACAACTCTATAAAACACTATCACGTGCCCTTCGGGGGTGTATAACACTCAAAATGGGATGTAACTAAGTCTGCTGTCTTTGAACTACGAAGAAAAACATTAATAAAGGCTCCCGACAAAGTCTCTCTCAATCTCTCCCATTCTATCTATCTCTCTCCCAAATCTCTCCAAGTATGTGAAACCTCTCCCAAATCTCTCCAAGTATGTGAAATCTCTCCCAAATCTCTCCAAGTATGTGAAATCTCTCCAAGTATGTGAAATCTCTTCCAAATCTCTCCAAGTATGTGAAATCTCTCCCAAATCTCTCCAAGTATGTGAAATCTCTCCCAAATCTCTCTATGTACCTTCCTAAGTCGAAAACAGCCCAAAACCAAAGGAGAAAACCCAAAGGAACCCTCTTGGTCCGGAACCCTCTTGGTCCGGAATCCTCTTGGTCCGGAGCCCTCTTAAGAACCGGACAATTTCGCCTCTCCCTCAGCTTCGGAATTCCTTCACTCCGGAAAGTGGCTCCGGAATGCCTTGCTTCGGACCATCTCGCATACGGCAGGAGGACTTCGCCCCGGACAAGCCTCGCACCTCGGAAGCCATTGATCCACTCCAGAAGCTGATGACTCCGCACTCCCCACTCCAGAACCATGAAAGAGCTTCAGAATTTGCACATTGGCTCCGGAATTTGGCATGTTGACTCCGGAACCCTTGCAGGTTCGCTTCCTTCTAAGAACTCAAGACTCCAAGGCTGCATTTGAGCTTTTCACCCTCATTCAGAAAGTATTCTCATCCTACATTGAACATTATTCACTCCTTCACTCAGATTATGAATCTTTCATAACAAATAACACCATAATTGTTCTTAGATCTTCAACTCTCCAAGCTCCTACCAAGTGTTCTTGACTTGGAAACCCTTTCTCTTCAGCATACATCTAAGGAAATCACTCAAGGTGAGTTCATACCCCTACATTTTCATGTTTTCTTCTAGTTTTAAGGCGGGGAATACAAGTTAATACACCAAAAACTTAACTAAACACAAACAACAGTTTTCATCAGAAAAGTTGAGTCCCATTCACGGACTGTTTTAACCATCTTCAACTTAATATCTTTCAAAACTGTTTTGAATGCAAGTAGTTCAGGTTTATAACTTTCTAATGAATATTTGCACATCTCCATACGATGTTTCTACAATTTACGGTGATTTTTACAAAACTGCCTATCATTTCAGAAACGAATTCGGACCAGCCTGTAAATATAAACAATTTCACACAATTTAGAGACTTCTAAAAATCATAATAAAAATTATGAATAAACTAGACACAATTAATAAACTCTCAGAGTTTACGGATTCAGTTTTCGACTTCGTATGATTTTTCTATGATCATTTTGAAACGGTGCAGAAAGGTTAAAAACTAGTTCACAGTTTACTACTTACACTTTGTAACATGTTAGGCAAAGTGTCTATCATTGATGACTCTATCTTTTACATGTGTTTTCTGATGAGTTACATTTAAATGACAGAAATGATTCACTGAATTGTAAGAGTCCTTTATCATTGTAAACATACTACGTAAAGAGGGGATTTATTTCCACCACTCAAAAAGGTTTTATACTCAAAGCACACGTAAACTCGTTAACGTAAGTTGTGAGACAATTCTCCAAATTGTACTCTTAGAGTACGGGTTAAAAATTCTTGTAAGTTATAACCAGAATCTCTTGTAGGGAGAGCGTGATAATTGTATATAGATCTGTATTGGGATTGACACCCCACACCTAGCTGCTACCTACAGCGGGACCTGCAGGTCTATGGCTGACAAAAGTCATAACAAATTCTAACGCCTGAGAAACGTTGTAGCAGGTCATCTAGTTGTAGTATGGTTATAACGACTCACATAGGGAGTTAACAACACATAAAGTTTACGGGAAAATCTACTTTAAAAAGGGTTTTATCTATTTAAAATTGCATTCTTCGTTGCAACTATGAAACACACTCATACAGTCGGTCTTGGGATTTAAGACTACATAACATTTTATAAGGAAAATATTGGATTTTTCTTGTGTATACGTTACATTTACAAATAAGGGTTTTACAATCACTACAACCAAAAGCTTATGAACTCACCAACTTAATTGTTGACACTCTTTCAAAACTACTTGTATTCTCAGGAAACCAATGAAACAGGTAATCAACTGCTTTTGAGGATGGGACGCAAGATGTCAATTTATACATTTTTGTCATCATAATGTAATTGTTTTTGAAACATGTAAACTCATACTATGGTGTAACTTTATCAATTATATTTATGATGGTTGTATTTACTATGAGCACTATTATACTCGTTGTTCAGATACTATACATGAAGTCATTCCCACCCCCGGACGTTTCCGCCATCCTTGGTTTGGGGGTGCGACAAATGGTTGTTGAACAAAACGTCATTAATCAATTCAATACCAATGACAAATAGGTTTCACAACCTATAATGAAGATTCAACATATGAATCTCTGGCTTAATCCCTCGCTTGAAGCTTACCCTAAAGAACTAAGAATGCTCATATTAGTTTTGAACAACTCAACTATTCATCATGCACTATCATCTACTTTTGCAATCCCGGTGCAATGGTTATATTTAGCGTCTTCTACAATAGTTTACAACAAAACAACCAAGGTGGTTACGTTCCAGGTGATTTCAAACAAGACAAATAAACTCACAAAGATGCAGTTCGCCAAAATATTAAAGGTATCCTCTTTTGGTACCATCTATGACGTTGCTATTGAACATGTTTTCATATGTTCAACGCCATGGGTCATCAAGCCACTTTGTCTACTATAAGTCTGTTCAAGAAGTCGTGTTTTCCCAGTGTTTGGAGTTTTCTCTTTGGTATTATTCTCAGAAGTTTAATAGGAAGGAGTTCTGGGTTGAATAAGGCAAAACTAGAAGTTTATTTGATTATGGTTGGGATGTATTATGGGGTTAATGTGAATTATGCATCTTTGTTGTGGGAAGAATTTGGGAACTCTATTTCTCATTCAAAAATAGCATCTGGAGTTTCGTGTGCTAGGTTTTGGGGATTGATTTTGAGAGAAGTTTGTACTCAAGAAGATTTTCTTTTTCCAACGGGTGTTGATACAACTGAGTTTCCATCCATGACTGTTCCTAAGATTTTTGTTGATGACGCTACAATTTTTCCTGTAGTAGCTCCAATTTCAGATTTGATGCTCAATTTAGTGAATCCTACTCATAAATTGTTGGTTCAGTATTGAGCCTCAATGGACCCTACTCCATCTGGTATTTTACCACCAAAGGCTCAATCTAAAGTTGTTGAAGCTTCTTCGAAAGCATCCAAGGGTAATAATAAAAAGAAATAAGATGAGAAGCCAAAATAGGTTGTAGAAGAGGTTGTTAAGGAGACCATACCCACTAAGACTGGAAAAGGGGTACTTAAACAAACAAAGAAACTTGCAAAGAAACCATCAAAATATGAACCGACGGAATCCACTGCTGAGCCTATAGTGGACACAATTGTCACTCGGTCTGAGACAATTGCTATAGAAATTCATACTCAAGACGAACTTATTGTAAAAAAAGGTGGGTTCCAATAGGGCAAAGAAACTTCAGTTTACAAGAAAAGGAGTTGTGATTAGGGAGATCTCGTCTCCTAATTCTCCTGCCTCTCGAAAGGGACGTGTTTTGGATGTGGTTCACAAAATGAAGAAGCAAGAACAAACTCATGTTGAGTATAAGATAGATGATGTTATTTTTGAATTAGATCATGAAAGTGATGACAATGATATAGATATGGGAGGTCAATTTCACGTGTCACCACAAATGGATACCTCTATCAAGTCGATTTTCAAGGAGACACGTAATCATGATGTCAATGCAAACGTATCTGATATGGATGCAAACATCAATTATGGTGTACAACAAAGTATAACAATCCCTAAGAAGACAAAAGTCATACCACCCGAAGGATCGAATACCGAGTCCGTTTTGGAGGAGGTCGAAACTCTAGACATCACTTTGAACTTATCTAATAAGGACACAAATGTCAACATGGTTGAAAGGATGAAGACCGTCAAAACTACTACTACTACAATTAAAACAAATGGTGTTCCTCCATCGCAACCATCTTCTCCACCACAAACATCTGTTACACCAATTTATGCTACAATTCTTTCTCCAACATTTGCTAGTGTCATGAAAGAACCAATTGCTTCTTTGTTCTCTTCACAATCAACAGAACCTGAGAAGACCATTATAGAAACCGGTGCATATGATGATAATGTTATGGTGTTGTTTGTTGAATTACAGTTCAACCCTGAAGAAGAAGATATCGTTGATGAGTTGATCATGTTGGGTAAGCTATTCATGATACTCAATTCTAAAATGAGTTCTCTTCTTCAAATTTTTGCTGATACTGGAGGCAAGAATTATGTTAGTGGGGTTGAATTTGAGTATCTTTTGAAAGCTCAAGAGTCTCAATTGAGGACTGTGATTTAGGATTTTTCTAAGAAACATGACGAGAGAATGGCTAATCAATATCGGCATTTTGAATATGAGATTACTAAACTACGTGAAGCAGCAAAAGAGTATCATGATCTTTTTTAGAAGAAGGTGTCTGAAATGAAAGCTTCTATTGACCTTAAGGTTCATGAGCTTCGAACCTTGATGTCTCAAGAGGTTAAGAAGATAGATGATAACTACAACTTGCTTCATATGAAATTTGATGTTGTTACCAATGCAACCACTTGTTTGATAGAAGATATCACTACGTTCAACATGTATTATTCCAAAGACATCAAAGTTAAAGTTGAAAAATATGATAAAGTGTTGGAAAAGATAGAAGAGTTTCTTTCTGAATTTAAAGAAACCTTATCGAAAGTTGATCTTTAATCTCAGTCTTCCATCTCTCAAGATTCCATTTCCTTAATGGTTTCGAACATTGAGACAAGTATTAAAGAAAAGTTGGCTCCATTTCTCAATCTGGTCCTTCGTCTACCAAAAAATGCTCAACATCCTGGGAACACCTTGAAAGCGGGTGAAAGTGGTGTTGATTCATCTAAGGGATCTGGTGAGGACTCAAGCCTAGTTGTTGGGAGAGTTATTTCTACACAAATTCCAACAACAATCCTAATGGAGCAAGTGATTACAACAACAAGGAATCTTAATCAATCGAGAGTCCAACAGAAAGGGATTTCGATTAATGAAGGAGCTGGTGGGTCGAGTTCTGCACTTGTCAAAACAAGTTCTAATGTCGATCCCAAAGACAAAGGTAAATGCATTCAAGTTGAAAAGTTAGAAGAAGAAAAGAAGATATTGCAAGCTATAGAGATCGCAAGACAAAGACAAATCAACAATATTTTGAGCCAAAGGGTGAATGATCCACCTGGCTTAAACAAAGGTGATCCTAAAAAGAGTTGGTGTTACAAAATAATTGAGATAGAATTTCTTGATAATAATCATGAATTCTTGAAAACACCAAAGAAAAGCTATGACACCGAGAATTCAGAAGCTTGATTTCCCAATCAATCATTTGTTGTTCACATTCACTCAATTCAAAATTGCTGAGAATTTCAATGACAAAAACGAGTTCAGAAAATTGAAGATTCGCTTCCATGCAGTCTTGGGAAAAGATGAAGAGGAAGTATGCTCATTGGTAAAGATTTTCAAAGTGATGTCGATAGTACCTAATGTGTTATTTGGAGGATTGTTGCAGAACTTGTCGTGAGGGCAAATAATATGGCATTCGAGTTCACAATTGCAGAATTTCCTTTGATAAATCCAAATGATCTCATCATGGTTACGAAAATCTTATGCAATGTTGATGTATCGAAAGTGGAAGAGGATAATAGAAATGCATTAATAATTAGATTTGGTCACATCAAGACTTTTCTTGATAGCTATTATGATTATTTGGTGATAACAAATATTGATTTTGCTATGGCAGTCAATAAAACTTCAAATGTGCCACAATCGTTGTTAAAGGGGAAGATGAACATTGATGAATTTGAAGATGGTAAGATTATACATAAACTTTTTGGAGTAGTATTTCAAGGGAAGAACAAGAAGGGCAAGCTGACAAAATTTATTTTCCAAGTGAATGATCATAAGAGATATTCAAACTCTCATTTTTCGAATCTATTGATCCACATCAATAACTGCAAGAAGAATGACAACAAAGACAAAGTGGAATTTCAAAAAATCATTATCTGGTACATAGAAGTTAGAAGGGAGTAGCTACAAACAATAAAGATGATAGCTTGAAGTTTCAACTATTCTCACTAATGGGGGAGATTGTAGAGTGGGAGTAGTAGTGAGTAGTCGAAAGCTATTACTTTAGGATTGGTGTCTGTAAGTAACGAAAGTTACGCACTTTCTTTACGGTATCTATTTACAAGGCATTTCCAGATTCAATACTTAAGGTCGAGTCCTTGTATTTTTTATTATCTGATGTACCCTATAAATAGGGTATGTGCTTTGGTCTAGAGTTATGAACTTACTTTGATTTTCTCTCTATACTAAAAAACCTAGCTATGCATTTCAGATATAATCGGAGCTAAAAAGATCTTATTTAGAACTTTGTGTTCGTTATTTCTTTCTTAGATTCAATTGATTCAAACATTAATTCAAACACTCTTCAATTTGAGGGGTTTAGAGGCCATTAGTATAATAATATGTTGTAAGGCCTATTAGGAATTGTTTATACTTATGTATCTGTATTAACAATGACATCCCATGATTTTAAATATAAGAGAAAAACATTTCCTTGAAAGTGCTTTGATAATGATATTATCATACTTTAGGAACAAATTCCACATTAAGTTTTAGACACTGAAATAAATAAAGCATAATAAAAAGTTTTAAATTGACTGTGAAAATGGGGATGTCACAAAAAACATAAAATATATATATTAGAAGGCTATTTTAGTCTTTTTCAGTTTTCGAAGAGACCAAAATGATAAGCAAACTAGCTCAAAAGGACCACAATCCAAACATTTGTGAGTTGGACCAAATCTAGGCAAAAATGCATACCACAAGGATCATTTTTGCAGTTTTGTCTAATGAAAATGTTATAATTTAAATGACATAAACTTTAGTTTTAATTTGACGCTTGAGAAAACAATTTTCTGTAAAACATTGATTGTTGTCTCGTGCAAAATCATATTTGAACGATGTATTATGGAATGAAATTATAACTTTTCCCTTACGGGATTGGTGCGTGTTGAGTTGTTGAAATGGGTATGCTAGGGTAATTTAATCTTTGCAACACCCCACCCCATTAGTTCTGACTTCTTGGCCGTCGATAATTAATGACCAGTAATCCTTACAATTATTAGTCCTGATAAATTTCTTCCCCAAGAAAATGTTCATCTTTTTCATAGTAAACCAAACAAACAAACCTTTTCTAGTTCTTAATCTTCATCTTACAATCATCCAAAGAAATGCTAGTTTATTACCAACATGCTTCATGGAGATTTTGCAAACAATTTCATAGGAAGAAAGTGTATATGATCGATACTTTAACTCATTCTCACATATATGTTTGGTGACAAGAATCTTGAAGTCATATTTGGGATGGAATGGTATGGTCATACATGCACAATATATATATATATATATATATATATATATATATATATATATATATATATATATATATATATATATATATAGTGGCGAATCTAGACCAAAAAATCACATGGTTCCCAAATTAAGTGAAGCCAATAAAAAAATTCAACAACACTTGTCTGGGGTCGGGTCGGGTCGTGTACCTTAAAAAATTGAACGAATCAGTTCAACTTGTTAAAACCGACCAGACATCACCGATTAAAAATTTTAACAAAACGATTGAAATATAAATGAAAAAAACAGTGCGTTTTTAATGAAAAACTAGTTGATTATTAGTCCATTGATAAAGCGGTTAACGGATAGTGAGAGTCTTTAGCATGTGGGCTTCTTTTTATTACAACAATTTATTTATTTATTGATATTTTGAGAGTGCCGATTAAGAATGGTTAATTTTTTGTTATCAATCTCATAATTTAAAATAACAAATTGATCCTAATAACTTATTTTTTTTCTTCTTTTGAAATGATTTTTTAAGACATTTTTTTAAAAAAACAAACTCAAGGTAGGTCCCTTATTTTTTCTAAGGTAGTTCCTAATTTTTCTATAATATATATTGTAAATGAAATTGAAGATTTAGGTAGGTCCTAGGACCTACCTTGGGCCATACTAGATACTCCCCTATATATATATATATATATATATATATATATATATATATATATATCTATATATATATATATATATATAATTATATATATATATATATATATATATATAGTATTTTGATAAACTGATTTACATTTCTCTAAATCCCAATGCGTTACTCTCTTAATAAAGACAATATTTCACTTTGAAAGTATTCGATTTTGGATTCCATTTATTAGAGTATGCACCAAAAAGGAAAATCAGGAGGCCACTTACTTTTTTTTTCTAAGGATGATTATCAATGTAACAACATTCCCATCCCAAAAACAATGTTTAGAACTGTTGAACGCAACTCTTTGGCCTGACTATCCTTCTTGTAGAAGAATTTTTTTTCTACTTTCATGCATGCTTTGTTAATTATAATTTCAAAGACAACATCATTTTTATGTTTGATTGCCCGATAATATGCCATAATTTAGGCCGTTTAAAAAATATAGATTACAATCATAATGATCATAAATTTGAAAGTTGCCTATCGTGTAGGTGATATAGACAGTGTATGTTGTTTTGTAGAGTTGTTAACGGGGTAGGTGGTGAGATTTGGTAACCAACTTGACATTATAAATGCATTATTAAGTATTGTAGAAAAAACGAAAAATATCGCAATGTGAACGCTATGTGTGTGTGTGGTCTATATATATATATATATATATATATATATATATATATATATATATATATATATATATATATATATATATATATAGATATATATATATATATCTATATAGACACACACACACACATAGCGTTCACATTGCGATATATATATATATATATATATATATATATATATATATATATAGACACACACACACACATAGCGATATATATATATATATATATATATATATATATCTATATATATATAGACACACACCACACATAGCGTTCACATTGCGATATATATATATATATATATATATATATATATATATATATTATATATATATATATATATAGACACACACACATAGCGTTCACATTGCGATATATATATATATATATATATATATATATATATATATATATATATAGACACACACACACACACACACATATATATATATATATATATATATATATATATATATCTATATATATATTATATATATATATATATGAGATCAAAATATCCTTTTCATTTTGTACTCTTATATTGATTTTATATCTATGTTTTGGAAGTGTGATAATCACATATCGAGGCAAGATATCAAAGGACATGGCTGCAAAATCGAACTCCGGATTTGACACAAAGACCCGATAACCCAATTCCATGTCAAATTAGTAGGCATTATAATACTTGCACTTAGCATAAAGAACTCAATATTACCAAAATGGGTAAAAAAAACCTTTGGTTTTTTATCCATATTTAGGTCACCATGTTTTTTTGTATATATTTGACCAGTAAACTTGTTTGACTTGTTCATATTAGGGTAATATTACCGTAATTAGCAGTCATATTACCCTATTTTGAACAGGTCAAACAAGTTCAATAGTGAAATTAAAAATAATAATAATAATAATAATAATAATAATAAATAAAAATTGGTTACCTAAATATGGACAAAGACTAAAAGTTGTTACCTTTTTAGGTTATTAAACCTTTTGAAAAAAAT